TAGAACGGCATGGGTAAATCTCCTGGGTGGAAAGGCTAACTCTCTTCTTGGTCGCCTGTGTTGACAGATAACTCTGTTTCCTTTTATCACCCACTCATCTTTTGCATCCTCAACTTTGGCACTCGGCGGGGGTGGCGCGTTAAGTTTCGGTCTCTTCGCTTGACTTTCTGATTCCTGATCTTGACTTTCAGACGCACGGCTTTTACCTTCGAGTCTCAGTTGGGCCGAGGCTAACCTTGCTTGTATGTTTGGGCTTTCTTGTCTCTTTAACCACTCGATCACGCGAGCTCTGCAATCAGCATTATGTGGTTTATGCTCTTTGTCGCCTCTAACTAGGCATTTACACCCGTAACATCCCAGCGTCGGTCCCATTTTCAGATATTCGTGCTTCTTTACGGCTATTCCTCGCGCAATCAGCGGCTTCGTCTCAGGCGCCGTTAACTCTTGCTCTGGCAAGTCCATGGGGACCATAATTCTAGACTGTAACTCCATTCCTGCCGCGTTAGGGTCGGGCTGCCAAGGTAACCCCTGCATCTCGGTGAGTTCGTTCATATTCCAGATTTCCGATTCACTTCCCTTTCGTTTGAACTCGTGCGCCTTGATCGCTCCGTTCGGTGTTCCAATGATGAGCTCCTGACTCTTCTCGTTAATTCCTAAAAACACTCCACTTTCCCATCTCAACTCAAGATTTTCACGGCCTTTGTGCGCGGGCGTCGTTAAATACATGATACATTCACCGAACTCAGGAATTTGTTAAACTTCCTCCCCCTAGATCTTTCATGGGCTGTCTTTCCATCTGTATATATCGTGAACTTGTTAACCAGAGAAGACGCATAACTTACCATCCATGGTATAATCGTATGGCTTTCACTAAGCTCGGTCTTGTATTTGGCATCCAAGGCGCTCTTTAATGTCCTGACTTGTCCTTGCACCGTTCTAACAGCTCTCTCAATTTCACCGTTGGCCTTCGAGTCGCCTACAGGACTTACTTCAACACCCATGTCAAGGCCACTCGACGCTTTAATCCTGTTGGCCAGCGCCGTAATTGCCGCTTCTCCATCACTTTTAAGTATAACCTTCTTATATCCGGTAAAGCCGATCATGTCACATCCCACTTTTACTGAGTATGGATCCACCCCTTTCTTCAACAACACTCGGCTCCACGTTAATTTGGTTTCCCTGCAATGCACGACCTGAATTGGGTTCCCATTGCTCGCACTTTCGCCTTCTTCCTTTCTTCCTTTGAGCCACATGTACTCCATTGAGATTACTGGTACACCTCCGTTCCTTTTCCTTTTACGTCTCCTGCGATTGCGCCCACGCGCCTTGCCCCTAACGCAATGTGGGCACCAACTTCGGCAAGGCAAATGCGTTGCATTGTGCGCCTCAACTTCCTCCTTTGACAATCTCATGTCACAGTGAACTTTCTTCGGTAACTCTGCTTCGTCACTCACAAACACGTCTTCTACGTCACTCAACTCACTTTCGCTGCCCCCACTTTCACTCCCTTCGCCTTCTTCGGTGTTAAAGACGTTTAAGTTTTCGCTTGGTCTTACGGGCAATGAGGGGCTTAGTAGAACAGGTCCGCCTCGAGGGTTCCCGGCCGCGGAAAACCCTCAGCTGCGTTTACTTCACTCTTGGGCTTGACAGCCTCCACCGGTCCCTTCGGCACCATGATGTTAAACTGGAACGTGCCATTCTTCTCGTGGATGGTCGTACATTTACCCGTGGCCTTATTCATAATATGACTCAGGGATTTCCCGTTAAGGTCCTTGTCAAATACAACTCTGTTTCCAGCGTCTACCATCTCCCTGACAGATCCCAGAACTTTGTTGACTTCCGCCACTTGAATTGGCGTGCTGACTGAGTTTCCATGTTCATTCTTGCCGGTTACTACTCGCTGCCCGCAATTCTTTATCGTCGTTCCGTTTGCCGCGCTGTAGTGTCTTCCCTGCTTTGACGCATCTGTCTGTTTAATGGGGAAGTAGGTGCCTATTCTTGGGGGTCCTACCGTGTTGTACGCTCCAGAGTCCACGGTGACCACGATTGTTTCGTGCGTTGTGCTCTGAGGTGGCACCGCGTTAATTTCTGGGTCACAGTCTCGCATTTCGATTAGCCCAATTTCTCCACATTTCTCCAACCAACTCTTTTCCTGCTTCATGCTTTTACTTATCCTCTGGCCCCACTGATTTACATGATTGCAGTTCCCGTTACACTGATGCTCCTGGTAAGCTTTTCTCAGGCCCAATGCGATGTTACGCGCCATTTTCTTTCTGGAATGTGAGGGCAGTGCCCATTGTCCGCTAATCTCCTCGGCCGCGGGCGGTTCCGGCGGCACGTTCACTTCATCATTCATCTCAACACTGAACACATGCTGCGGTTGACCAAACGAGGTGGTTTGTTCACTTTCCGCGTTTACCGTTGGTCTCTCTTGCTCAACTTCGTTGGCGGTCTTCTTGGGGCCTGGGCAGTTAACGGCAATGTGCCCTTTAGCGCCACACTTGTAACACTCACGCTCGCTGCGGGCGGTAAATCTTCCTTGGCCACCGTAACTTCCACCCCGCGAGCCGCCACCTTTACCGCCTTGTTTACCTCCAATCTTACCTTTCATGTAAGATCCATAGGTGGCACGGTAGCCTTTGCCTTTGCCGCCTTTGCCACCTTTGCCTCCTTTCGTGAACTGTTTAGGCTTTGTGCAGTTCCTGGCTAAATGACCCATGCCTCCGCAATTGTAACATTTGGGGCCTGAGCCTTTGCCTTTGCCCTTGTTTACGGCGTCGACTTCCTCATGATCTCCAGTTTCACTTTCATTAGCCCAGGGCCCGTAACTCCAAGATCCGCCCTCTGGCCACCAGTTTCCATATTCGTCGACCCATCCTGTCTGATCCCAAACATTTTCGGACCCTTGACTCGTCTCGTTAATATTTCCAATGTCCATCGCATCTTTATTTTTGGTGTCTGAGTCGAGTTTCTTTTTACGCGCCCAATCTTCACACTTGGAGTATAGCTTTTGGAACGAATTAATGTTAAGTGCGTCAGGCGTTCGCCAACACGCCTGCTGCCACTCGTCAAACCAATCATTCGCATGCGCCATTATTGCCCTGAGCGCGGTAACCTTAAAGGGGAGGGACAGCGAGTAATCTTTGCCATGCGTTTCAAAATTCTCCGCTAACGCGCTCCACTCCTCAAGTCGGGCAACGGCATCGGTAATTTTCTTGGGCGGCTCAGGGTTCATAGCGCGCGTCATCTTTGAAGAAAGGGTCGCTCCGGTAACAGCCGAGTACAATTTGTAAACCTTTTGCCAAGCCATAATTCCGTCACCGTCCATGAGTCCTTTTAATTTCCCCCTTGCTTCTGCACCTTCAAGCTTTTCGTTAAGGATGTACCATAAGTCTTCCTCCATTTGAGTTTTGTCTCCCTCGGTAAACTCATAATCTCCTTTGTTGTCATCCTCTGCTTGTTTAGCTTGGTTTGCCTTTAAGTATTCGCTTGCTGTTAACCGACCGCTCATTATGCGTATGATATCATCATTTTCCTCTGGGACAACTCCGTCAAGTGTCTCCAACTTCTTGTTCAACATTTTCAGCGCCGGTCGGTAACTTGGGCAAGCGCGTTTAAGAACTTGTCGCTCCAGTCTCTGAACTTTGCTCTTTCTCCACTGAAGTTCTTTAACGCCTGTAATGCATTGTACTCGCTTATCGGTTTACCGCCCCCGTGCTTACTTCCGTTTCCGCCTTTGATTGCTTCCGAAAGCTGACCAAACTTTTCAATTAACTTCTCTTGTACTTCGCTGTTGGTCTCCAACTCGGTAACTCTTTCTACCAATCTGCGAGCATCCCTTTCAAGCGCAGCGTTTCTAATCGTTATCGCTAACAACATGCTGTTGGTCTTCTGAGCGCTCTGTACCTTTTGAAATGCCTCAACGTTCGATACTTCCCTTCGGTCCTGTGTTACTCGCTCGTTAATGAACGTCGCAAGTCCATAATGATTTGCAAGTAACGCCGTCTGAACGTAACTGAAGTCCCCGTTCAGGTACGCCTGCTCGCACAGGTCGTTGAAGCGGTTAAGGTCCATGTTGACCCATGCATCTCTGTCCGCCGGCACGTTAAGGTTGACCGGCGGGTCGCCCTGCGCGGGCCTAGCTGCAGCGGCCGCCGCCGCCGCCATGCCAACCGCGCTCCGCTACCATGCAAAACCCCGAGGAGGGTTCTGCACGGGAGCTCGGTGACAGCGATGACGATCGGTCACCTTTTAACCTCAGCACGGCGAAGCAAGTCTCGGTAGCTTCAGCCGTTAAATACTTGAGCCAAATGGTAACGGGGACACCTTCACTCCCCAGTCACCTGAATGCTCACATGTTAACACCTCCTCCTCCTCCTCCTCCTCCTCCTCCTCCTCCTCCTCCTCCTCTTCCTCCTCCTCCCCTCATCCTCCTCCTCCACCTCCTTCCCCCCTCCAACTTATGGTGGTCGTGGAAAACAAGCCCATATCTCCCGATGACCCTTGCCGCCCCCGTCCCATGCCTAGACAACCACGTGTGGACCCACCCCTGCAGGTCCGACTTCGGAGAAACCTGCCGGGCTTGGAAGTCAAAGGCGTAGTGTAGTTATTGTTATGACCGGGTGAACTCCAGCGGAGGTGTCCGATACTCCCTCGTCGATTGGACCAGCAAGCAGGACAGCCCAGAATCAAATCAAAAAGTCGGATCGGCGATCGAAATGAATCGGATCGGCGGAAATCGGCAGCTGAGTTGGGAACAGTCGAATCGGCAAGATCGGCAGGCTGGTAAGCCTCCAATGAGAAATCGGAACCACTAGCCGGAATCCCAAGTCGAATCGAATCTGAATCGGAAGCCATCGAAGTCGAATCGAATCGAGTCGGAAGAATCGAAACGAGCCCTGAGCAAGGGTCAGCTTGTTGGTCGTGCGCTACCCACATCCCTGCAAGCTGGCAGGCGATTGGCGGGGATGCTTCTCTTTTCGCTGCGGCTGCGGCCGCGCCTCCTGCTTCGACTTCGTCTGCCTCGGCGAGCTGCGGGCAACCATGACACACTCCGAAAGGGGAATGCAAGGCTACGGGGACGGCCTGCCTCCCTCCCTCTCTCCATCCACTCCCAAACCTCCCGCCACATCCACAGTTTTTTCCACTCAGCTTCGCTCCTCCCATCGCTCCCACCATCCAGCATCCCTCCCCCTCCCACGGCCTCGTGGAAGAGAACAGCAATCCCTATCTACAACCGTGTCTTGTGCAGGCTGAAGCGTGGGACATGGGGGAACCAAAAGGTACCGATACCGTTACTTCCTGGGCCTCTCCTGGGGTGCGTTCGGATCAGGATTCCGAAGCGAATCCAGCGGTGGCGACGAGGACCTCCTCCCAGGAGGCCCCAAACAGGGAAAACGAGGGAAGCGTAGCAGCATGGGCACCTCTTCCTCCTCCGAGGAGAAGGGCGGGGACTGAGAATCCCCCCCCCCTTGGGCCGCGTCTCCTCACACGTGTCGCCTTGCCTCCCGAGGCCGCGATCCCTCGACAAAAAAATGGACCTGCGCCCCCGAGGCCACGATCCCTCGTTGAAAGCAATGGATATTCGCCCCGAGCTTCTAGGACGGCCCATGCAAGCAACCAAGGGCATCCAAATGGCCCTAGATGCCTCGATGACAGCCACTGATGGCTCCAAGGCGACCGAATATGGCTTCAACACGACCCACGATGCCTCAAAACGGATCCAACAAATGACAACAACAAAACCTCCAACACGGTTTGTCAATTATGTTCGCACTCTAGCATTTTAAGGCTTCCGTCAGCTGAAGACGTCCCAAGAAGCCTCCACGATGGCCCCTAGACGGCCCAAGGGGTCCCCAACAGGGTCCCAATATGACACCAGAGGACCCCACGATGACCCAGGAGTCATCCAAGACGGCCCCAAGACGGCGTAAGCGGGCCTCCCGTGGGACCCACGACGGCCTTAGAGGGCCCTTTTCGACGGCCCAAAACGGCGTCGAAACGACCCCACGACGGTATGCGGCAAAGAGGGCCCCAAGCCGGTCCAAAAGAGCCCCAAGACGGCCGAAGAGGGCTACAAGGGACCCCCCAAACTGCCTCACAAAAAGGCCAAGACAAGCTGGGCTGGCACGGAAACGGAACGAGCGCTTCAGCAACCTGCCCGAGATATCTCATGGGGACCCCCCAAACTGCCCCACAAAAAGGCCAAGACAAGCTGGGCTGGCACGGAAACGGAACGAGCGCTTCAGCAACCTGCCCGAGATATCTCATGGTACCCTTCGCTCTTGAGAGCATTGACAGGATCCATTTGAAGATTTTTCGCTGTGGAGCGACACACAGCCCGACGAGAAGATGGAGCACCACCAGGCCAGATCTTACAGCGGCCTGCCCGTCCTGCGGGGGTCCCCATAGACCGAGTGCGCGCCACTACGTGGCCGAGTGCGCCGCCCTGGCGGGTTTCCTGCAGGAGCTGAACGACGCGTACCACATATCACCTGGCTGGTGGGCACGCCAGCTGCGGGCGACGCTGAAAACGGGATGGATCACTTTCCCAGCTCACGCGTCCGCGGCCCGCAGAGCGGAGCTCCAGGTGGCCGTCTGCCGCATGGGGCTCGTTGCCATGGCTAAGATGGCAGAGGATTGGAAGGTTTTGAAGAGAGCGTAGGGCATCCGAGCGACTTCGTCCCGATGTTCGACCTTTACAGCTTGTTTTTCGACCTCCCCCTCTCCATGTTCACGTTCCCCCAGGTTCTAGCTTTCGTTCAGTTGTTCCTAATGTACAACCCGCCCCCGCGCCAGCTACTGCAGCCTCGCCGACGCCTGCGCCCTCCGCTGGGCCGCCCTCGCGGCGCAGCGGGGCGCCCACGGCGGGGGGGGGCTCGCGTGGGCCTCGAGGGGGAGGGAGGGGACTGGACAGCAGCAGTAGGTGGGGGGGGAGCGAGAGAGGCCTGCCCACTGCTCCGTTCTCACCCACCCACCAGCGCCTAGGGCCCAGCTCGCACCGCACATCCCCCCTCCTTTTCCTTGGACTGGATAATTTCTCTTCTCCACCTGTGCCCATCCATGCTCTGTACCTGTGCACTCGATTACTGCTTCGCCCTTCTAGTCAAGCATTGCCAGCCAACCGCGCTCTCACCAAACCGCCTATTGCTACGATCTCCCACAATACGCTCAAGGTCATGCCACTCCTCTTTAGGTTCTCCACCTCACCTTTCAGGCCGAGGGAAGGCGCAGTTAGGTCCCCACTCCACAAGAGCATGGTAACTGCACCACCTCCAAAAGAGCATGGTAACTGCACCCCTCTGCCTCACCGCAAAAGAGCAGGCGACTGCAGCCACATCCGCTACACGCCCTTTTTGCTGTTTGCAGCACCGCTTGTTGCATTCCGCTTCGCTTCGCACCCACCTTCATCGTAGTAATGCACCTCACCTCTCAGGCCGAGCGAAGGCGCGGTTACTGTTTGCAATACCGCCTGTCGCATCTCGCTTCGTCGCGCAACCACCTGCCTATCTACCTCTGCGCCCTCCGCCTCCAAGTCCTGTATACCTTTGAAGCCTCCTATACCTCCTTCCTTGCCAACAGGGGTAAACCACCTGCAAAGCCAGAAGGCGAACGCTCACCTCCTCTTGCCCTTCCCTCCCCCCGTTTGTTCCCCTTCCTCCCCGCCCTCTCCCCTCTACCTTGACTCTGAGTGTTCGCCTTCTGGAGTTACAGGTGAGGCCCTTACCACTTGGCTACTGTTCAGGCGCCCCACATCTCCACTGGCAACCAGGTCATTGTAACCTCGTCTCAGTCATCTCGCCTCTCACATTTTCCCTAATGCGCCCCCACCTACCCGCAGGGTTTGGCCGCGGAGAGGTGGCAGGAGAGGTTTGCATGGCTACAGAAAATCGTCTCTTACAGCCGTTAGCAGCAGCAGGAGGAGAGGGAGGAGGAGGAGGAGGAGGAGGAGGAGGAGGAGGAGGAGGAGGAGGAGGAGGAGGAGGAGGGGGAGGAGGAGTGGGAGGAGGGGGAGGAGGAGGAGACGGAGGAGGAGGAGGAGGAGGAGAAGGAGGAGGAGGAGGGGTAGGAGGAGGAGGCGGAGGCGGAGCGGTCATGCCGGAGGCCGCCGAGGCCGCGGCTCTCCCCCCTGCTGCGGCTCCGCCTCCCGCTCCGGCTCCGCCGGCCCTGGCTTCTCCTGCGGCTGCGGCTCCTCTTGCCTTTCGCGCGGGGGGGCGGAGGGGCCAGAGGCTGACGAGAGTGGCGATGGCGATGACGACGGCGGTGCTGGCGACGATGGTGACTATGATGAGGACGACGATGACGACGACGATGATGACGACGAATGAATAGAGAGGATGACGACAGTGACGATGACGGTGATGGCGACGACGATGCTGGTGCTGATGACAGTGATGGCGACGACGATGACGATGCTGCTGCTACTGCTTATGATGATGATGCTGATGCTGATGCTGATGACGACTATGATGATGATGATGATGATGATGATGATGATGATGATGATGGTGATGATGATAATGATGACGATGATGACGATGACGATGACGATGGCGATGACGATGACGATGACGATGACGATGGCGATGACGATGACGATGATGATGATGATGATGATGATGATGATGATGATGATGATGATGATGATGATGATGATGATGACGATGTTTTTTCCGCGCGTCGGAAAACTCATTCCGCTTCGCCCACCTCGGAATTCTCTGGCTCGCTCTGAAACATCTGTCCGCTCGTCGTAGTGCAAGCTCGTTGCCAGATGCAAACCAGCCGCAACCATCATTGTGCATGTCGCAAGGAGTTATGACACAATGCCGTCCCATACCCATCCATGTTTCTGACCACGTGTGCTAACTCATCGTCGATCTACAAATCTACTGCAGGTTCAAGTTTTGAGCTCAATCATTCAATTTGCATTGATATCGTTCGGCACGTCTCTAGGCTAGCGTTGGTCGGATCAAACGTGCCAGAAACGCAACAGACTCCATTGAAGGAATCAAGCAAATCATCTTGCCCGTTCGGCTCCATGCCTGGCCGTGAACAACTAAGGGCCTGACATTGACACTGCACCCCGGCACGACGGAATTGGATTAACAATTCTGGCCAATGAAAGCAAACCCGATATATCGAATCGAAACCATTCCGACTGCCCGCGTACTGCAACCACACAACAGTCGTGTCATATCGTCGACAGCCGCGATCGCCCACATCTCTTCGGAGGCAAAGTATAAATCCGATTGTGCCTGCTGATGAGCCTATTCAAGTCTATGTACGTCGATTTCGGGTATGGTAACCCCCAAACCATTTTCGTTGGCCTGGCTTCGCTGATGATTTCTTCAATTCGTTAGATTGTCTTTTGCCGGGAAATGCCCCGCACAAGAGCTCGGATGGTTGCACTGAGGCTGACGGCGTCTGGTTCCAGTTTGGACTGCCAGAACTCCAACGCAACCGACAACGCTTGTTGCCACTCCCCCTGGCGACCGCACGCTATGGTGGCACCCGATAAACTGAACTGGTCAGGTTCTATTTTCTCTTGCTGCATTTCTCTGAACAGTGATAGTGAAACTTGCCACTCCTGACATTTCCCACACGCCCTGACCGCTATGTTGTAATGGAGAGTACCAATTTTCACCTTTCCTTGCCTCGCCTCACAGAGTAGCCACAGAGCCTGCTGCCACTGCTTGCCCTTCTCGCACGCGCTGATTCCGGCGCTGTAGCTGACTAGGGCTGACCCGTGGACTCCGTCCACGACATCTTTCTGGAATGGTTCTCGGAGGAACGGCGCAGATTGTACCGAAAATCTACAAACACGGCGGCGGCTCGGGCGGCGGCAGCGAGACCGCGCCTTCGTGTCCGAGCTCTTGCAGCGCTGCAGCAGCTTGGCCCAGCGCACTGCTCGTTCACCCCCCTCCTATTGAGGACAGTTTCGAAGTCTCTCGGGGATGTGCGTCGAAGTCGAAGCCCATCTGAGGCGTCTCAGGAGCGCTCGGGGAAGGGCTCGGGAGGCCATCGGGGAAAGCCACCGAAAGCGCCGGGGAGGCTCGCAAGGATCTACAGGGAGGGCCCAAGAGAGCTTCAAGAAAATTTGAAATCCAGTGAACTCTTAAGAGAAACCGCTGTTGGGTCGGCCATCACCTCCGGGCGCGCCTTGATGGTGCGATCCAGTCGCATCACCGCCAACGGGAGGGTTTGTTCGCCATGTCCCATTCTGTTCGCCCAGAGGGTCTGTGGAGGCCTTCGGGCGAACAGAACGGGACAGGGCAAGGAATGGGGAAGACATGTCCGAATCTCCTGGGCCCCCCAGATGCTCGTCCGAAGAATGCGGAGAGGTCCCAGGGTCATATCAATTGGCTGCTGTCACAGGGGTCCGGTCTGCTTGGCCCGAAGAGTTTGCCAAGGCCCCTGGGGGAACAGAATGGCACAGCATATCGGGCAAAGGGGGGCGGTAGCTGGCCTGTCAGACCCGGCGTTCGTCTTCTGCCCAAGCGGCGCGGGGCCCACGGGCCCCAGGGTTGGCGTCCCGCTGGGATTCCTCTTGTTCGCCCACAGGGTTGGAGGAGGCCTCCAGGCGAACAGAATGGGGCAGGACAATGAATGTGGGAGACTTGTCGCAAGCTCCCAGCCCCCCCAAGTGTGCGCCCGAAGGGTGTGGGGCCGCGTTGGCTCCCTCAAAGGGCCGTCTTGGAGCCGTCTAGGCCCGTCTTGAGGGCGCCGTTTGCCCTGATGGGGCCGTCTTGGTTCGTCGTGGGCCCCTCATGGGCGCGTCCGTAGGCCGTCCTGGGCCCATCGGGGTCCTCGTGGGGCTGTCTTGGAGCCGTCTGGGACCGTGAGGAGGCCGCCTTGGAGTCGTCTTGGGCCCCTCCTGTGCGCCTCCTTGGGCCGTCCTGGGCCCAGCAGGGGCCGTGTTGGCACCCTCTTGGGGCTGTCTTGGAGCCGTCTTGAGCCGTCGCAGCGCGCCTTGGGTTGTGCTGGGTCCGTCTTGGCCCGTCTTGGGGCCTTCCTGGGCGGTTCCTCGGACCCTCCTGGGACTTTCTGGGGCCTCTTGGTGCATCGGACCGCCGAAACGGCGGGAAACGCAAAGGGTGTAACAGTAAACAATGGAAAATTAACGATTTTTGCCAGCTGGGACTCTCTTGCCATCTTGGCCCGTCTTGAGGCCCCGAACGGGCGCGTCCTTGGGCCGTCCTGGGCGCACCCTCCTGGGACCGTCTTGGAATCGTCTTGGGCCGTCTTGAGCGCGCCTTGGGCCGTCCTGGGCCGGTCTGGGGCCGTGTTGGCACCCTCGCGGCGAGGAAGCTCGGAGGCGGGCTCGAGGCCTCTTCGGGGCCATTTTGGAAGCTGTTGGGGCCTCTGTAGGGGCCTCGTTTGGGCTCCTTGGGAGCCTCCTGGGGCCTCTTCGGGGGATTCTTGGCGGCCCCTTGGGGCCTCTTGGGGGCCTGTTTGGGCCTCCTGGCGCCCTCTTGGGGCGGAAGGCTCGGATTTTCGGTCCGTGGTCCCCCTCTTGGCCCCCTCTTGGGCCTGTCTTCGGGCCCTCGTGGGCCGTCTAGAGCGTCTCTTGGGTCGTCTTGGGGCCCTCTTGGGCTGTCTTGGGGCGCTCTTGGACACCTCTTGGGCCGTTCTGGGGCGCTCTTGGAGGCCTCTTGGGCCGTCTTCGAGCGTCAGAAAGCGGAAAAGGCGAGAAGGCCAAAATCCTTCCAAAACCGTCGTAAAGCGGACGATTCTGAGGCCCAAAACCGTCCAAAACCTCCTGAGGCGGTCCCCTCGTTCGCCCCCCTCGCTTCGAAGCAGTTTTTTAGCCCCGTGGCACCTCTTGGGGATCTCTTTTGGGCTCCTGGGGGCCTCTTGGGCCTCCACTGGATTCGCTGCCCTCGGTCGGCAATCGTCGATCCTACGACGACTCTCCCCAACGGAGAAACATCGAAGGCCCTCGGAGCGTCCAACATTGTTCTTTTGTGCCTTCGATATGCCGGTCGCCTCTCGTCCGCTCCCCCCCTCCTGGAAGCAATTCTGAGGCCACTTAGGGCTTCGTGGGGGCCGTTTGGGGATCTCTTGGGGCGTTTTTGCTTGCAATATGCCTGTCGCCTCTCGTCCGCTCCCCCGCTCCTGGAGGGAATTCTGAAGGCACTGAAGGCTTCGTGGGGGCCGTTTCGGAGCCTCTTCGGCCTGCGTTTGGGCCTCCCGGGGGGGCTCTTAGGGCCCTCTCGGGCCGTCTTGGGTGCCTCTTGGGCCATCTTGGGGCCGTCTGAGACCCGCCTCGGCGCCTCTTGGGCTGTCGTGGGCCGTCTTGGGCCGCTTCTGGGGTCGTCTTGGTGCCTCTTGGGCCGTCTTGGGCGCCTCCTGGGCCGTCCTGGGGCCGTCCTGGGGCGTCTTGGGACCGTCTGGGGGCCCTCCTGGCCCGTCTTGGGGCTCTCTTGGGGTCCTCTTCGGCCGTCTTGGAGCGGTCGGGAGGGCTTCTTGGGCCGTCTTGGAGCGTCGGGAAGCCGACGAGGCGAGGAGGCCGAAAACATCGAAAAACACATTAGAAATCGACGATTTCTGTCGCTCGGGACCCTCTTGGGAGGCCTCTTGGGAGGCCTCTTCGGGCGTCTTGGACGCCTCTTGGGCCGCCTGGGGCGAATCTCGGGCATCTTGGGCCCATCTTTAAGCGCGCCGGGGCTCTCCGGGGCCGTCTTGGGGGCTTCTGGGGGCCCTCTCGACATGTCCTGGGGCCTGCCTGGGCGTCCCGGGGCGGCCCGGGGCCAGCCCGGGGCGGTTTCGGTGCATTGGGGCCTGCGCCCTTCTGGCACGCACTGGGCCCTGCAATGTAGTAGAGACTAGGGCTGACCCGTGGACTCCGTCCACGACATCTTTCTGGAATGGTTCTTGGAGGAACGACTGAGAAGTCGCCGAAAACACATCAGCACGGCGGCCGCCGGGACGGCGGCAGCGAGGCCGCGCCTTCGCAATACGGCCCGACACGGCCTCAAAGTTGCCCCAAGATCGTCCAAGACGGCTCGAAGATGGCCCCGTAATGGCCCAAGAGGCGCCCAGGAGGGCTGCAAGAGTGAAGCACGTCGGGGCCCCAAGAGGCCCGGGCTCGTGACCAACCAAAAGTAAAAGGAATGTGGGGCCGAATCCGGCAGGGAGTGCCAAGCAAGCGTCAGGCAGGCGGAAGAGCCCCATGCCGAGCCCAGGAACTGTGTCAGGAACTGGGTCGAGATGGCTCGTGTCACCGTTCACCCGTGGGAGACTTCATTATCATCCTCACCCTCACCCTCCTCCTCCTCCTCCTCATCATCATCAGAAGCAGCAGCAGCAGCATCTCTTCTTCATCAGCATCATCATCATCTTCGTCATCATCATGATCAGCATCATCATCATAATCATCATCATAATCATCGTCATCATCATCATCATCATCATCATCATCAGTGTCATGCTCATCATCATGATCATCAGCATCATCATCATCATCATCATCATCATCATCATCATCATCGTCGTCATCAGCATCACCAGCATCAGCATCAGCATCATCATCATCATCATCATCATCATCATCATCATCATCATCAGTATCAGCATCATCAGCATCATCATCATCATCATCAGCATCACCATCATGATCATCATCAAAAGCAGTATCGTAATCATCATCGTCATCATCATCAACATCATCAGCATCATTATCACTAGCAGCATCATCATATTTATAATCATCATCAGCATCATCACCATCAGCATCATCGCCTTCATCATCAGCATCATCATCTGTATCATCATCATCATCATCATCATCATCATCATCATCAGCAGCAGCAGCAGCATCATCATCGTCGTCGTCACATGATTTGGAACGTCGGCCCAAAAGGGCCAGGGACGGCCCAAGATCGTGTCAAACGCCTCCCGAATGGCCACATACATCATTTGGGACGTCGGCCCCAAACGGCCCCAGACGGCCCAAGAGTGCGTCAGACGCCTCCCAAATGGCCCCATGCTGGCCCAAGAGGCCCCTGAGAGGGCTTCAAGAACGAAGTACGGCATGGCCCCAAGAGGCCGCGGAGAGGGCTCCAGACCGATAAAAACGGCAAGGAATTTTGGGCCAAATCCGGCAGTGAGCGCCAAACAAACGTCAGGAGGGCCGAGGAGCCCCATGGTGCGCTTGGAGCCGTCTTGGGACCGTCTTCGGGCCGTCTTAGGCCATCGTTGGCTGCTATTGGTGCTGTCTTCGGTGCTTTTTGGCCGTCATCTTGGGGCCTCTGGGGGTCGTGTAGGAGCCTATCAGCGTTTCTATTCGGCCTCCTGGAAGCCTCCTGGGGCCCTATTGGGCTGTCTCGGGTGCTTCTTGGGCCGTGTTGAGGCCGTCCGGGGCCGTCTGGGGGTTGTCTGGGGCCGTTTTGGGCGTCTCTGGAGCAGTCTGGGGACCGTCTGGGGGTCGTCTTGGGCCGTCCTGGGCCGCTCTTGAGGCTGTCTTGGGTACCCCGTGGGCCGCCAGGGGCGCCGCAGGAGTTGTCCTGGGGCCATCTTGGGACCCTGTATGGCCGTCTCGGACGCTATGAGGGCAAGTCCGGGAACTGCAAAAATGCAAAGTTCCCCCATGCAGGGAATGGGATGATGTTTCGGTGTTCGGGCTCTCTTGGGGCTCGTCGTGGAGCCTACGTGGAGCGTTTTGGAAGCCTCTTGGACCGTCTTCGGCCGTCTGAGGGCCCTCTTGGGGGCCACCTGGTGCGTCTCGGAACGCTCTTGGGCCATCTTGGAAGAGCGCCGAAGCCCGCTGGGGCTCGCAGGGGCCGCCGTAAGGGGGCCGGTCCGCTGCCACCGATCGGCACCTCCGCGAGCGCTGGGCCAGAAGTTGGGCTCCAGCTTCGCCTCCCGCATCTCGCTCAACAGCGCCAGCGCCCGCTGCCACTGCTCGCCTGTCCCGCACGCGCTGATCCCGGCGCTGTAGCTGACCAGGGCTGACCCGCGGCCTGCCGGCCGCGGAATCTGCCCGCCATGGCGTGGACGTGGAAGCGGAGCGTCTCTGGGGCCTCGCGGGTAAGGGGAGGTTGGATGGGACGGCGCGGATGGAGGAGATGGCCGCCGGAGGTGGAGGTGGGCGAGGAATGCAGGCAAGCAGGCCTGAAGGCAGGAACGCGGTGGCGGAGGAGGAGTCAGTGGAAGCACACCCATGCGGGCATGACATGGTGTGGACAGAAGCTGTTTCTGACGCCGCAACTTGTGTTCATCATAGCTCCTGCGGGGAGGGTAGCCGTTAGAAGTTATCTGCTCTTCGCGGAGGCCGAATGGTCATTTCATCTGGTAGTGTGGTGACAATGTGGCCAGTGGGCGCGGCCTGGGAGGCCCGCAAGAGGGCGGCGAGAAGGCCCAAAAGGTCTCCAGGACGGGCCAAGCTTCCCAGACGGTCCCAGAGGGCCCCACGAACTCCCTAAGACGGGCCCCAGTGCGAGGACACGAATCGACCTTTCGAGCGCACCGCCCCAAGACGTCCCCAAATGGCTCAGAGATGGCTCTCAGAGGGTCCAAGAAGCCCCCAAGACGACGCTGGAAGTTCGACGCTCCCCAGGAGAGGAGCATCCAAGGCTTCTTGGGGGCCGTTTGGGGGCCTCTTTTCGTCCTCCTTGGAGTCTCTCGGGGCCCTCTTGGGCAATTTTGAATGCCTCTTGGGCCGTCTTAGGGCGATGTGGGGCCGTCTTGAGCGCCTCTCGGACCAAATTGCAGCCGTCTTGGGGCCATCTTGGGCCGATATTGGCGGCTCTTGGGGATGTTTTGGGTGTTTCTTGGGCCGTCTCGGGCGTCTCTGGGGCCGTCCCGGACGGCCCAGAGACCGTCTTGGAGACTGTGCAGACGGAAAGGCTTGGAGACGGGGCGGTGGGGGCATCTACAGCCGTCTTGGAGATAGGGCGATGGGGCCGTCTTGGGCCATTATTAACTGGTCTTGGGGCTGTCTTGGGTGCGTCTTGGGCCGTCTCGGGCGCCTCTGAAGCCGTCCCGGGGCCGTGTGGGGTCGTTTGGGGTCCCTCCTGGGGGCCTCTAGGCTCGTCTTGGGGCGAACTGGGGGACCTGCATAGCCGTCTCGGACGCTGTGAGGACGAACAAAACAAGACATAGTGAACATGTGCGACTTTTTTGTCGGGAATGGGACGGTTTTGGCCGCTTGGGGCTCTCCTGGAGGCCCTCCTGGACCGACTTGGAAGCCTCTTGGCCTGCGCTGGGGATCTCTGGGGTTGTCTTGGGCCTCCCAAGGGTGCTCTGAGGCCGTCTTGGCGCGCCCTGGAGCCTCTAGGAGCCGTCCCGTGGGCCATTCTTGGCTGCTCTTCGGGTTGTCTTGGGTGTGTCGTGGGCCGTCTCGGGCGCCTCTGGAGCCGTCCTGGGGCCGTGTGGGGCCGTTTGAGGGCCCTCCTGGCGAGCTGGGGGGCCTGTATACCGTCTTGGACGCTGTGAGGACGAAATAACGAAACATAGTGAAAATGTATGTTTCCCGTCGGTAATGGGACGATTTGGGCCTCTTGGGGCTTTCCTGGAGGCCCTCGTGGGCAGTCTTGGGAGCCTCCTGGCCTGCCTTGGGGGCCTCTAGGGCTTTCTTGGAGCTCCAAAGGATGCTCTGAGGCCGTCTTGGCACCCCCTGGAGCCTCTCGTAGCCGTCACGAGACCGTTTTGGGGGCATCTGCGCCCCGGAAGGCGCCCCAGAGGGCCCGGGGAGTGGGGTCTTCTCGCACGCGCGGATCCCTGCATTGAGAGATGACGTCGGGCTCCAGCTTCGCCTCCCGCATCTCGCTCAACAGCGCCAGTGCTGGCTGCCACTGCTCGCCCTTCTCGCACGCGCTGATCCCAGCGCAGTAGCTGATGACGTCGGGCACCAGCTTCGCCTCCCACATCTCGCTCAGCAATGCCAGCGCCCGCTGCCACTGCTCGCCCTTCTCGCACGCGCTGATCCCAATGTTGTAACTGACTAGGGCTGACCCGTGGACTCCGTCCACGACATCTTTCTGGAATGGTTCTCGGAGGAACGGCGCAGATTGTACCGAAAATCTACAAACACGGCGGCGGCTCGGGCGGCGGCAGCGAGACCGCGCCTTCGTGTCCGAGCTCTTGCAGCGCTGCAGCAGCTTGGCCCAGCGCACTGCTCGTTCACCCCCCTCCTATTGAGGACAGTTTCGAAGTCTCTCGGGGATGTGCGTCGAAGTCGAAGCCCATCTGAGGCGTCTCAGGAGCGCTCGGGGAAGGGCTCGGGAGGCCATCGGGGAAAGCCACCGAAAGCGCCGGGGAGGCTCGCAAGGATCTACAGGGAGGGCCCAAGAGAGCTTCAAGAAAATTTGAAATCCAATGAACTCTTAAGAGAAACCGCTGTTGGGTCGGCCATCACCTCCGGGCGCGCCTTGATGGTGCGATCCAGTCGCATCACCGCCAACAGGAGGGTTTGTTCGCCATGTCCCATTCTGTTCGCCCAGAGGGTCTGTGGAGGCCTTCGGGCGAACAGAACGGGACAGGGCAAGGAATGGGGAAGACATGTCCGAATCTCCTGGGCCCCCCAGATGCTCGTCCGAAGAATGCGGAGAGGTCCCAGGGTCATATCAATTGGCTGCTGTCCCAGGGGTCCGGTCGTCCGGTCTGCTTGGCCCGAAGAGTTTGCCAAGGCCCCTGGGGGAACAGAATGGCACAGCATATCGGCAAAGGGGGGCGGTAGCTGGCCTGTCAGACCCGGCGTTAGTCTTCTGCCCAAGCGGCGCGGGGCCCACGGGCCCCAGGGTTGGCGTCCCGCTGGGATTCCTCTTGTTCGCCCACAGGGTTGGAGGAGGCCTCCAGGCGAACAGAATGGGGCAGGACAATGAATGTGGGAGACTTGTCGCAAGCTCCCAGCCCCCCCAAGTGTGCGCCCGAAGGGTGTGGGGCCGCGTTGGCTCCCTCAAAGGGCCGTCTTGGAGCCGTCTAGGCCCGTCTTGAGGGCGCCGTTTGCCCTGATGGGGCCGTCTTGGTTCGTCGTGGGCCCCTCATGGGCGCGTCCGTAGGCCGTCCTGGGCCCATCGGGGTCCTCGTGGGGCTGTCTTGGAGCCGTCTGGGACCGTGAGGAGGCCGCCTTGGAGTCGTCTTGGGCCCCTCCTGTGCGCCTCCTTGGGCCGTCCTGGGCCCAGCAGGGGCCGTGTTGGCACCCTCTTGGGGCTGTCTTGGAGCCGTCTTGAGCCGTCGCAGCGCGCCTTGGGTTGTGCTGGGTCCGTCTTGGCCCGTCTTGGGGCCTTCCTGGGCGGTTCCTCGGACCCTCCTGGGACTTTCTGGGGCCTCTTGGTGCATCGGACCGCCGAAACGGCGGGAAACGCAAAGGGTGTAACAGTAAACAATGGAAAATTAACGATTTTTGCCAGCTGGGACTCTCTTGCCATCTTGGCCCGTCTTGAGGCCCCGAACGGGCGCGTCCTTGGGCCGTCCTGGGCGCACCCTCCTGGGACCGTCTTGGAATCGTCTTGGGCCGTCTTGAGCGCGCCTTGGGCCGTCCTGGGCCGGTCTGGGGCCGTGTTGGCACCCTCGCGGCGAGGAAGCTCGGAGGCGGGCTCGAGGCCTCTTCGGGGCCATTTTGGAAGCTGTTGGGGCCTCTGTAGGGGCCTCGTTTGGGCTCCTTGGGAGCCTCCTGGGGCCTCTTCGGGGGATTCTTGGCGGCCCCTTGGGGCCTCTTGGGGGCCTGTTTGGGCCTCCTGGCGCCCTCTTGGGGCGGAAGGCTCGGATTTTCGGTCCGTGGTCCCCCTCTTGGCCCCCTCTTGGGCCTGTCTTCGGGCCCTCGTGGGCCGTCTTGAGCGTCTCTTGGGTCGTCTTGGGGCCCTCTTGGGCTGTCTTGGGGCGCTCTTGGAAACCTCTTGGGCCGTTCTGGGGCGCTCTTGGAGGCCTCTTGGGCCGTCTTCGAGCGTCGGAAAGCGGAAAAGGCGAGAAGGCCAAAATCCTTCCAAAACCGTCGTAAAGCGGACGATTTTGAGGCCCAAAACCGTCCAAAACCTCCTGAGGCGGTCCCCTCGTCCGCCCCCCTCGCTTCGAAGCAGTTTTTAAGCCCCGTGGCACCTCTTGGGGATCTCTTTTGGGCTCCTGGGGGGCCTCTTGGGCCTCCACTGGATTCGCTGCCCTCGGTCGGCAATCGTCGATCCTACGACGACTCTCCCCAACGGAGAAACATCGAAGGCCCTCGGAGCGTCCAACATTGTTCTTTTGTGCCTTCGATATGCCGGTCGCCTCTCGTCCGCTCCCCCCCTCCTGGAAGCAATTCTGAGGCCACTTAGGGCTTCGTGGGGGCCGTTTGGGGATCTCTTGGGGCGTTTTTGCCTGCGATATGCCTGTCGCCTCTCGTCCGCTCCCCCGCTCCTGGAGGGAATTCTGAAGGCACTGAAGGCTTCGTGGGGGCCGTTTCGGAGCCTCTTCGGCCTTCGTTTGGGCCTCCCGGGGGGGCTCTTAGGGCCCTCTCGGGCCGTCTTGGGTGCCTCTTGGGCCGTCTTGGGGCCGTCTGAGACCCGCCTCGGCGCCTCTTGGGCTGTCGTGGGCCGTCTTGGGCCGCTCCTGGGGTCGTCTTGGGTGCCTCTTGGGCCGTCTTGGGCGCCTCCTGGGCCGTCCTGGGGCCGTCCTGGGGCGTCTTGGGACCGTCTGGGGGCCCTCCTGGCCCGTCTTGGGGCTCTCTTGGGGTCCTCTTCGGCCGTCTTGGAGCGGTCGGGGGGGCTTCTTGGGCCGTCTTGGAGCGTCGGGAAGCCGACGAGGCGAGGAGGCCGAAAACATCGAAAAACACAGTAGAAATCGACGATTTCTGTCGCTCGGGGCCCTCATGGGAGGCCTCGTGGGAGGCCTCTTCGGGCGTCTTGGACGCCTCTTGAGCCGCCTGGGGCGAATCTCGGGCGTCTTGGGCCCATCTTTAAGCGCGCCGGGGCTCTCCGGGGCCGTCTTGGGGGCTTCGGGGGGCCCTCTCGACATGTCCTGGGGCCTGCCTGGGCGGCCCGGGGCGGCCCGGGGCCAGCCCGGGGCGGTTTTGAGTCACTTGATCCTGCGCCCTTCTGGCACGCACTGGGCCCTGCAATGTAGTAGAGACTAGGGCTGACCCGTGCACTCCGTCCACGACATGTGGCCGAAAATATTCTCGGGGCAGCGGCGGGAATGCTGCCGAAAGGCTATCGACATGGCGGTCAGCCCCTCGGCTGCGAGGGGGCCTCTGGGGGCCCTCTTGGGCTCTCGTCGATGCTCTGAGCCTGGTGTCTTGCTCTCCCCCTTGCGCTGCCGCCTCCGCTGCTGCCCTCATCGTCGCCGTCCTAGCCAGGTCGTCGTCGTCTTCATTCCCGCTCTGTTATCGTCCGCGCGATATTCGCTTGCGTCCTTGCTCCTCCTCCCCAATATACCTGCTCACCCCCCTCCTCCTTTGGGACCCTGTGGGGTCGTCTTTGGGCTCTCTCAGGGGCGTCGTCGGCCGTCTTGAAGCCATCTGGGAACGCATTGGGTGGCGGTGGATCGTGTGGAAGCCGACCAGGCAAGCACGGCAAGAACCGTGCAAGAAGCAATCAACATCTAGGATTTGTCTTGCTCGGGGCCCTGTGGGGACGCTGCTGGGGAGATCTCATGGAGAACCTTGGAGATCTGTCGGGCCGGTTTGGGCCAATGTTGGACCAATCTCGAGCGTCTGTGGCACTTCTCGGGGGGCCTGTTGAGCCGACCTGGGGCCCTCTGGGCCTATCTCGGGACTCTCTTTGGGTCCCTTGTCGGCCGTCTGGGAGTCGTGTTGGGAACGCCTTGGGCGGCCGTGGATCGCCTGGAAGCGGAGAAGGCGAGCACCGCCAAAACCCTGCCAGAAGAACTGAAAATCAATGTTTTGTCCTACTCGGGGCACTCTGGGAAAGCTTCACGGGAGGACTCTCGGAGCACCTTCGAGACCTCTCGGGCCGGCTTGGGCCAATCGTGGGCCAATTTTGAGCGTCTGGGGCCCACCTGGGGGCCTGTTGAGCCGACGTGGAGGCCCTTTCGGCCCGTCTTGGGGCTCTCTTGGGGGCGTCTTCGGCCGTCTTGGAGGCGTCTTGGGAACGTCTTGGGGTGTGGATCGTGTGGAAGCCGATAAGGCGAGCACGGCAAAAACCCTGCAACAAGCCAGAATCCATGTTTGTTCCTGCTCGGGCCCCCTCTGGGGAAACTTCCCCAGATGTCTGTCTCACTGAGGGTCTATGGGAGCCGTTTCGGAGCCTCTGGGGACTCCATTTGGGCCTCCCGAGGGGCTCGCAAGCTTCTCTTGGGCCGCCTGGGGTGCCTCTGGGGCCGTCTTTGGACCGTCGGAGGCCCGCGTGGGCGCCTCTTGCGCTGTCGTGGGCCGTCTGGGGCCGCTCTTGGAGCCGTCATTGGGTGCCGCTTGGGCCGTCTTGGGCGCCTCCTGGGCCATCCTTGGGCCGTCTTGGGGCGTCTGGGGACCGTCTGGAGCCCTCTTGGCCCGGCTTGAGGCCCTCTTGAGGGCCTCTTCGGTGGTCTTGGAGCGGCGTTGGGGACCTCTTGGGCCGTCTTGGAGCGCAGGGACGGCGAAAAGGGGAGAAGGCGAAAACCATCGAGAAACACAATGAACATCGACGATTTCTCCCGCTCGGGGCCCGGCCCTGCTGGGAAGCCTCTTGGGAGGCCTCGTGGGCATTCTGGCCGCCTCTCGGGCCGTCTTGGGCCAATCTTCGGCGTCTTGGGCCCATCTTGGGGCGTCCCGGGGCCCTCTGCGGCAGTCTTGGAGCCTCTTAGGGCCCTCACGGCGTGACTTGGAGCCTTCATGTGCGGCAAGGGGCGGCTCCGGGGCCAGCCCGGGGCGGCCCAGGGCGGTTTTGCCACCATGGGGCCTGCACCCTTCTGGCACGCACGGCCCCCGGCATTAGAATATAGACTAGGGCCTAGGGCGAACCCGTGGACTTCGTCCACGTCGTCTTGGGCCAATCTTTGCTCGAAATGGCCGCCTTGCGCCGATCTTGGCTCGAAATAGCGTGAAGGTGGAAATATTTCAAGAACCATGGGGAAATCAATGATTTCGATTGCCGCAGCCCGTCTGAACGGCCTCTGGGGCCGTGTATGTGCCATGTTGGGGGTGTTGGGCCGTTTCGGAGCTCCCTGTGAGCCCTCTTTGGCGGCTCTTGGGGCCTGTCTGGGGGCTCTTGGGGCCTCTTGGGCCTTTTTGGGATCCTCCGGGAACCCGTCTTGGAGCACTCTTGAGCCGTCTTGGGGCACTTGCCGGAGCCTCTTGAGCCTTGGAGCATTCGTGGGGGGCCCAGGAGCCGTCTTGAGCCGCTCTTAACTCGAAATCGCGAGAACCTGCAAATCAGGCGAAAACCATAGAATAATCAATGATTCTTGGTCGCCGCGAGTCATCTGGACGGCCTCTTCGGCCGTCTTGGCGCCATGTTGGGACTCTTGGGCTGTCTCGGAGCTCTCCGTGAGCCCTCTTGGGCGGCTCTTGGGGCCCGTTCAGGAGCTCGCACTCATGGACGCTCTCTCGCGCCGTCTCAGGACTCGCTTGGGTCGGCTTGGGCTCCTCCGGGAGCCATCTAGGAGACCTCCTGAGCCGTCTTGGTGCACTTGCCAGAGCTCTTGGGCGGCCTTGGAGCGTTCGGGGGCCCCAAGAGCCATCTTGGCCCACTCTTGGCTCGAAATCGTGAGAACCTTAGAATCAGTCAAAAACCATAGAACAATTAATGATTTTTGGCCGCCGCGAGCTGTCTGGACGGCCTCTGGGGCCGTCTTGGAGCCATGTTGAGGCTAGGTGTCCCGAAGCGTGCTCGAGCTGCCCGGAGGCACGCCAGGGGCGCCAGGGGCCCGCTGAGGCCGCGCCAGGGGCCCGCCGAGGCCGATTTTAGATACTTGATCCATGTCCCTTCCCGCACGCGCTTCCCCGGGAGATTCAGGAATCGGCCCGAGATGGCTCATGGCGCCCTTCGCTTTTGAGAGCCCCTTGTGTGAAGGGCTGGTCACGTCACCACTCGCTCTTAGGAGCTGTGCCTGGGAGAGCTCTCTACGCTGCGGCTCGCTCTTGGGAGCCTTGGTGAGAAGAGTTTTGTACTTCACCAATCGCTCTTTTAATGGGCGTCTCTGGGCCTGCTTGGTGGTCCTTGTGGATGTTTTTTTCGGGCCATTATGAAGCTTTGTTAGGTTGCTCTGGGAGCGTTTTGGGACGTTTGGGAGCCCTTTTGGGCCGTCACGGGGCGTCCGGGAGGCCTTGGACCGTCTTGGAGCTCTCTTGAGGCTGCCTGAGGCCGTCTTGGGAGCCTCTTGGGGCCCCCTCGGAGCTCTCTTGGGGCCGTCTTGGGGTTCTGTGAGGCCGTTTCAGGGCTCTCTGGCTTCGTCTTGGGGCTCTTGTGGGCCGTCTTGGAGCCCTCTTAGGGGCCGCTGGCGTCTTCTTGGGGCAATTTGGGAGGCCTCTTGGCGTGTCCTGGGCCGCTGAGGAGCACACAAGGCGGGCATGCTGAAAATCGACGTTTTCCAATAGGAATTTGTGCCTCTTTGGCGTGCGCTCGGGGCCCTCTTGGTGCGTCTTTGCGGCCTCTTGGATCGTCGTGGAGACCCCCCGGAAGGCTTCGGGCCCTCGTGGGCCGTCTCGGGACCTACTGAGGCCGTCTTGGAGCGCTCTTGGACGGTCTGGGACCCCTCTGGAGCGCCCTTGGAACCAGCCTGAGCGATTCGGCCCCGTGGTGGCGCCGTGAAGGCGCGATTTTGTACATTCTGAAGCTTTTTGGGGCTGCTCTGGGAGCGTTTTGGGACGTTTTGGAACCCTTTTGGGCCGTCACGGGGCGTCTGGGAGGCCTTGGACCGTCTTGGAGCTCTCTTGAGGCTGCCTGAGGCCGTCTTGGGAGCCTCTTGGGGCCCCCTCGGAGCTCTCTTGGGGGAGCGCCTCTGGGACGGGCCTGAGCGATTCGGCCCCGTGGTGGCACACGAGGCGATTTTGTGCACACGAGGCCCTGTGAAACCCTTCTCGCACGCAGATCCACTGGCCATGTAGGAGAGATGACGTTGAACTCCAGCTTCACCTCCCGCATCTCGCTCAGCAGCGCCAGCGCCCGCTGCCACTGCTCGCCCTTCTCGCACGCGCTGATTGCAGCGCTGTAGCTGAAGATATTGGGCTCCACGGTCGCCTCACACATCTCGCTGAGCAGCCCAAGAGCCAGCTGCCACTGCTTGCCCTTCTGGCACGCGCTGATCCCAGCACTGTAGCTGATGACGTCGGGCGACACCTTCGCCTCCCGCATCTCGCTCAGCATCGCCAGAGCCCGCTGCCACTGCTTGCCCTTCTCGCACGCGCTGATCCCAGCATTGCAGCTGATGACATTGGGCTCCATAGTCGCCTCGCACATCTCGCTGAGCAGCCCAAGAGCCAGATGCCACTGCTCGCCTTTCTCGCACGCACTGATCCCAGCACTGTAGCTGATGACGTCGGGCGACACCTTCGCCTCCCGCATCTCGCTCAGAGTCGCCAGAGCCCGCTGCCACTGCTTGCCCTTCTCGCACGCGCTGCTCCCAGCACTGTAGCTGACTAGTGTGAACCCGTGGATTAAATCCACGGCCCGCAGGTCCAGGCGTTGGTCCCGAACGCGCACGTGTCGGAAGCGCTGGAAGCGTCAAAAGGAATGTGTTTTTGCTAATCGCGCGAGGCCTGGGCGCGATTAGCAGAAACACGCAGGTTTTCAGACACAATCAGAGTAAGGGGGCCCGACGCTTCCCAGGGGCTCGTCCGGGGCAACTTTCGGAGCCCTCCGAGGCAGTGTCGGGAGCCTCTTGGGGCGTCTTGGGCGCCTTGGGGCCATCTTGGGGGTCTCGGGCCGTCTCGGAGCTCGCTTTGGGCTCTGTTGGGCGGCACCTGGGGCCCAGTTGTCGCTGTCTTCTGCGTGACTTGAAACTCTCTTGGGCTGTCTTGGGGCCTTCTTCGGCGGACTTTGGCCCTTCTTGGGCCATATGAAAGCCATCCTCGGGTTCTGTTGGGCGGTCTAGGGGTGATCTGAGAAGGTCCTGGGGCCGTGAAGGGCCGTTCGAAATGGCGGGAAGAGCAAGAATCCTCCAAAACCTCCGGAAAACGGTAATTGGTGCCTTTTGGCGCGGTCCACGCGGTGCGTTCTAGATCACTTATGAGTTGGCTTAGAATGGGTTGTGTGTTAACCATGTACAATTGTTACCATAATAGTTATAACCACTTGTGTAAGTCGACCTAACTATCAAGATAACTTCTGTAAGTCGATCCGCGCCAGGAGGGGGGAGGAGGCAAACTAGGAGGAGGAAGAGGGGGAGGAGGTGGAGGAGGAGGGAGGAGGGAGGAGGCAGGAGGGAGGACTGGGGGGAGGAGGGGGGGGGGAGAAGGAGGAGGAGGAGGAGGAGGAGGAGGAGAAGGAGGAAGAGGAAGAGGAGGAGGAGGCAGGAGGAGGAGGAGGAGAGGAGGAGGAGGAGAAGGAGAAGGAGGAAAGGAAGAGGAGGAGGAGGCAGAGGAGGAGGAGGAGGAGGGGAGGAGAAGGAGGAGGAGGAAAAAAGAGGAGGAGGGTGGTGAAGGAGGAGGAGGAGGAGGAGGAGAAGGGGGAGGAGGAGGAGGAGGAAGAGGAGGAGAATGAGGAGGAGGAAAAGGATGATGAGGAGGAGGAGGTAGAGGAGGAGGAGGAGGAGGAGGAGGAGGAAGAGGAAGAGGATAATAATACGAAGTAGGTGAAGTACGAGGAAGAGTAGGTGTATGAGGGGAAGAGGGAAAGCGAAGGGCGGGACGGAGGAGGGATGAGGGGGGAGGAGGAAGGAGTGATAGGGGGAGGAGGGAGGAGGGGGAGGAGGAGGAGGAGGAGGAGGAGGAGGAGGAATAGGAGCAGTTCGAAGCCCCTCGGGCCCGAAAGTAATGCGACCATTTTCTGATAGAAATGGTCGCGTCACTTTCGGGCCCACTCGGCTTCCATCTCCTGGGCAGGCCAAGCAAACACTATGAAAACAACACACTGAATTTCATTGTTTTCGTTACTCTCCGCGAGCCCACCCTGTAGTGCTCAAAACGGTTGGAGTTGGGCCCCTGACAGTCCGAGCGGTGCCGCCGACCCTGGAGGGGAACGGCGACGACGGCGGCGGCGACGACGACGACGACGGAGGGGGAGGGGCTCCTGGGAGTATATCGGGAGCCTCTTGCGGCTGGAGGACGAGGAGGAGGCCCCCCGCCTGCCGCGGCGAGCCGTCGGCAAGCACTGATTTGGGGAGCAGTCGGCGAGCCGTCGGCAAGCGCTGATTGTGAGGGGTGCGAGAGGGAGGGAGAGAGAGAACGAGAGAGAGAGAGAGAGAGAGAAATGACATTCATTTGCCACCGCCAAGCCCAAGGTCCCCGATTGGGTCAGGGCGGTCTGCACACCCGCGGGCGCCCTTCTGCGTGTACACATCCTCATGTTCGTCCTCCTCCTCCTCGTCATCTTCCTCCTACCCCTCATCCTCTTCCTCCTCCTCCTCCTCCTCCTCCTCCTCCCCCCCGTCCCCTTGCCCATCCCCTCTCGTCCTGATCGTGATCCTTCCTCCTCCTCCGCAGCATCATCCTCCCCATCTTCCTTAACATCTTCTCCTCATCCGCATCCTCCTTGTCCTCATCGTCATCCTCACCCTCATCATCCCCATCGTCCTTCTCGTGATCTTCCTCGCCAATATCATGTATCCCTCTTCCGTCTGATCCTCCCTCACCCTTCTCCTGATACGCCTGTTCCCTCATCCTCACTTGGCTCTCCACCTCCCCCTCCTCAGTACCATCGTTTTCCTCATCCTCCTCCTCATCATAATCACCATCCTCATCCACGTCCACATCCTCCTCCTCCTCCTCCTCCTCCTCCTCCCCCTCCTCCTCCTTATCCTCCTCCGTATCCTCCTCCTCGTCGGCACTGGCGTTCTCACGCCTCCTCGCAGCCCTGGGCGACGGCCTGCAGGTGCTGCCGCAGGCGCAGCCACGACGCCACGGCGTCCACGCGGAAGCTGAAGGCCTTGTCGGTCAGGCTCACCGACGGGCGCTGCACGCGCCAGGCCATCTTCGCCAAGTCCGTGTAGACCTTGATGCCAAGGCTCGGGACGTTGATCGTCGGCACCTTGGACGTCGGCTTGCCAGGGAAGCCACCTAGAGCAACCTCCCACGCAGCCTTCTTCTCCTTGGTGACGGGCGTCGGGGTCAGCTCCGACTGAGTCTTGCCCGTCAGCCTGACCTTCTTGAACGGCGTGCGCGTCGAGGCGGCTGGCCGCTTGAGGACAGGCGACGCTGCCTCGCCGTCGGTCTTGTTCTTCTTGGGCGTCGCTGTCGTCTTGTCGATCGTCTTGGCCTTGGCCTTGGCCTTAGCCTTGGCCTTGGCCGTGCGCTTCTTCCCCTTGGCGTTCCGCCTCGCCGCAATCTCATCGGGCGTGTACTCTGGCTTCTGGGCGAGCACGGAGCGCATGTGGCTGAGCATGTCCGTAGTCGAAGGCGCCGTCGCCGCCGCCTTGGTGCCGACCTCAGGCGCAGCGTCGCCCTCAGCCACCTCCCCGACGGAGTCCATGCGCCAAGCGCCCATGCTGGCGTCGCTCGCGCCAGCACCCGCCGCCGCCGACGACGCCTGACTGGACAGCTGCCACACCGCGAGGCTCGAGCCCGAGTCGAGGCGGAAGCCGTCGTCGGTGCTCACGATCTGTTGCCGCTGCACAGCCGCCACAGGGATCGCGGGCTGCATCAGCGCTGGCAGCGGCGTTGGGCTGGCTGCCCGTGGCACCGCCGCTGGCGGAGGCAAGGCGAGCAGCGCCGCCGAGGGCGCATCCGCGGGCGGCGGCACGGCGAGCGGCGGCGCCGAGGGCGCACCCGCGGGCTGCGGCACCACCGAGCTGCGCGCGGCGTCGTCCAGCAACGCGAGCGGCTGGGACCTCATTGGCGGCCTCAGCATCACGAACCCTGGGGGGTCGACTTGGCCACCTGCACACAGCGAGTTGCCAGAGCCTGCCCTGCGAACTGGATTATGCTGGACCTGCAGCGACGTGTGAGTCTTCCGAGCAGGAAGGCGCGCCGCCAACGCAAACCGCATGCCACCGCGGTGGCGCCACTGGCGCAATGCCGAACTTGATGCTACCCTTGTATTCGCCCATCCCCCCGATGCTCCACATCCTCCTCCTCGTCCTCCGTTTCCTCCTCCTCCTCCTCCTACTTCTCCTCCTACTTCTCCTCCTCTTCCTCCTCCTCCTCCTCCTCCCCCTCCCCTTCCCCCCACCGCGCATCCTCCTCGACCCCTCCCCCCCCCGCCGTGCCCCGCCACGGGGTGAGGGGCAGGGGGGAGGGGGGTCTGGGGTAGAGGGCCAGGCGGGTCAAGCGGCAGCTGTTTGGATCAACGTGGCCTCGTCCAGCGGGCAAGGGGCTGGCTCCTCAGCGGCGAAGGCGTGCCTGTAAATGTCTGGGTTGGATGCCAAGAGGGCCTGCGGCGACGGGGGCAGCTTCGCGATGACCCCGTGGTGCGGGAGCCTGCAGGGGTGCACATTGCATGACGCGCCCAAACGTCCTGACTAACCCCCGCCTGGAAATCTGAGCACGCGCGGGGGGGAAGGGGCCGTTGATCTAAACACCATTGCCTTCCAACCTGCGCGACGAAGGGGATGGGGGAGGAAGAGGAGGAGGAAGAAGAAACGGAGGAGGAGGAGGGGAAGGAGGAGGAGGAGGAGGAAGAGGAACACCAGCTGCAGGAGGGGGGAGATGAGGCGGAGGAGGAGGAGGAGGAATCTAACGGAGGAGGACGGGAAGGGTGGAGAGGGGGACGATGATAATGCCGAGCAGCAGATGGAGCAGGATCAGCATGCATGGCCCCATCGGCGCGGGGATGGGGGGGAGGGTGGACGGGGGAGGAGGGTGTGTGTGTGGTGTGTGTATGTATGTATGTATGCATGCATGCATGCATGCATGCATGTATGCATGTATGTATGTATGTATGTATGTATGTATGTCTGTCTGTATGTATGTATGTATGTGTGTATGTATGTATGTATGTATGTATGTATGTATATATGTATGCATGTATGCATGCATGTATGTATGCATGCATGTATGTATGTATGTATGTATGTATGTATGTATGTATGTGTGTGTGTATGTGTGCGGGAGAGAGTTATTGTGTGTGCGTGTGTGTGTGTGTGTCGTGGGTGTTTTTTTAGGTTGGTGCGGCTGGGGTTGATGATGGGGTGGGGGTGGAGAGCAGGAGGGGGGGGGAGGTGGGCGATGTGAGGTATTCAGAGCGTCCCCACCAACGTTTTCCTTGCAACGCTAACCCAAGGGCAGGCCTTAACCCATGGGCAGGCCTTAACCACGGGGGTGCCCGCGACGCGCAGGGAGGAGGACGATGGGGGAGGGGGAGGGCAGGTAGGAAGCGTCGGATGAGGAGGAGGTGCAGGAAGGGGGAGGAGGAGGAGGAGGAGGAGGAGGAGAAGGAGGAGGAGGAGGAGGAGGGGGAGGATGTGGCTGAGGATCGTGAGGACGAGGGGGACGATGATAAGATAAGACACGCGCCGAGGAGGCGGACCAGGCTTCAGCCAACA